GGAATGGAGGGAATGGAGGGAATGGAGGGAATGGAGGGAATGAAGGGAATGAAGGGAATGAAGGGAATGAAGGGAATGAAGGGAATGAAGGGAATGAAGGGAATGAAGGGAATGAAGGGAATGGATGGAATGAATGGAATGAATGGAATGAATGGAATGAATGGAATGAATGGAATGAATGGAATGAATGGAATGAATGGAATGAATGGAATGGATGGAATGAATGGAATGAATGGAATGAATGGAATGAATGGAATGAATGGAATGGATGGAATGGAATGGATGGAATGGAATGGAATGGAATGGAATGGAATGGAATGGAATGGAATGGAATGGAATGGAATGGAATGGAATGGAATGGAATGGAATGGAATGAATGGAATGGAATGGAATGGAATGGAATGGAATGGAGTGGAGTGGAATGGAATGGAATGGAAAGGAATGGAATGGAATGGAATGAATGAATGGAATGAATGGAATGAATGGAATGAATGAATGGAATGAATGAATGGAATGAATGAATGGAATGAATGAATGGAATGAATGAATGAATGGAATGAATGAATGGAATGAATGAATGGAATGAATGAATGGAATGAATGAATGGAATGAATGAATGAATGAATGAATGAATGAGTGAATGAATGAATGAATGAATGAAAGAATGAAGGAAGGAAGGAAGGAATGAATGAATGAAAGGAATGAATGAATGGAAGAAATGAATGGAATGAATGAATGGAAGAAATGAATGAAATGAATGAATGAATGAATGAATGAATGAATGAAGGAATGAATGAATGAATGAATGAAAGAATGAAAGAATGAAAGAATGAAGGAAGGAATGAATGAATGAATGGAATGAATGAATGGAAGAAATGAATGGAATGAATGGAATGAATGAATGGAAGAAATGAATGGAATGAATGGAATGGAATTAATGGAATGCAATGGAATGGAATGAATGGAATGACTGGAATGAATGGAATGAATGGAAAGAATAGAATGAATGGAACGAATGGAACGAATGGAACGACTGGAACGAATGGAATGAATGGAACGAATGGAACGAATGGAATGAATGGAATGAAAGGAATGAATGGAATGAATGGAATGAATTGATTGATTGATTGTCTGACTGACTGACTGACTGACTGAATGAATGAATGAATGAATGAATGAATCAATGAGTGGGTGAATGAATGAATGAATGAATGAATGAATGAATGAATGAATGACTGAATGAGTGAATGAGTGAATGAGTGAATGAATGGAATAAATGAAATGAATGGAATGGATGGAACGAATGGAATGAATGAAATGGATGGAACGAATGGAATGGAATGGAATGGAATGGAATGGAATGGAATGGAATGGAATGGAATGGAATGGAATGGAATGGAATGGAATGAATCACTGAATGACTGGATGGAATGAATGAGTGAGTGAATGAATGAATGAATGAATGAATGATGAATGAATGAATCAATGAGTGGGTGAATGAATGAATGAATGAATGAATGAATGAATGAATGAATGAATGAATGAATGAAAGAATGAATGAGTGAATGAATGAATGAATGAATGAATGACTGAATGACTGAATGACTGAATGACTGAATGAATGGATGACTGAATGAATGAATGAATGAATGAACGAACGAACGAACGAATGAATGAATGAATGATTGAATGAATAAATGAATGAACGAATGAATGAATGAATGAATGAGTGAATGAATGAATGAATGAATGAATGAAATGAATGATATGAATGAAATGACTGAAATGCCTGAAATGCCTGAAATGACTGAAATGAATGAAATGAATGAAATGAATGAAACGAATGAAACGAATGAAACGAATGAAATAAATGAAATGAATGAAATGAAAGAAATGAATGAAATAAATGAAATGAATGAATGAAATGAATGAAATGAATGAAATGAATGAAATGAAGAAATAAATGAAATGAATGAAATGAATGAAATGAATGAAATGAATGAAATGAAGAAATGAATGAAATGGATGAAATGAATGAAATGAATGAAATGAATGAAAAGAATGAAATGAATGAATGAATGGAATGAATGGAATGAATGGAATGAATGGAATGAATGGAATGAATGGAATGAATGAAATGAATGAAACGAATGAAATGAATGGAATGAATGGAATGAATGGAATGAATGAAATGAATGGAATGAATGAAATGAATGAAATGAATGAAATGAAATGAATGAAATAAATGAAATAAATGAAATAAATGAAATGAATGAAATGAGTGAAATGAATGAAATGAATGAAATGACTGGAATGAATGGAATGGAATGGAATGAATGGAATGAATGGAATGAATGAAAGAATGGAATGAATGGAATGAACGGAATGAATGGAATGAATGGAATGAATGGAATGAATGGAATGAATGGAATGGAATGAATGGAATGAATGGAATGAATGGAATGGAATGAATGGAATGAATGGAATGAAAGGAATGAAG